ATACTTCGCGAAGAAGTACATCCACCTCACCATCCTTTGCAAAAGGTGTGGACTGTTTACGGCCGTGCGTAGTGACGCATGGTCCTTATAGATGGTGAAAGGTCTATCTCCCGAGAGATAGACCCGGAACTTATCCTGTGCATATTTCATGGCAAGCAGTTCCTTGTTATGCACTGGATAATTGCGTTCAGCTGATTGCAGCTGACGCGATTGATAGCAGAAGACGCGCTCTGTGCCATCTGTGTCTTACTGCATCAACGCACAGCCGATAGCAAAATCGCTGGCGTCACAGACCACATGAAAAGGTCTGTCCTGATCTGCAATCGCCAATATCGGCGACTGTATCAAGCTTTACTTGATGCTTTCAAAGGGTCGCTGGCAGTCAGTGTTCCATGACCACTTCACATCTTTCTTGAGTAAGCAAAAAATATAATCAGTCATTTCGGCGCAATTGCGCGAGTACTTGTGCAAGTACGCCGCTAAGCCAAGGAACTTACGAAGTCCCTTGACATCGACTGGCACTGTTCAGTCGGTGATCGCCTTGATCTTTTCGGGATCAGGTCGGACGCCGTGTTTGCCGACGATGCACACAAGAAGTGGTATCTCGCTTGCCGCAAATATACACTTCTTGAGGTTGGCATACAACTTCTGCTTGCGCATAATTTGAAATAATTTACGGAAGTGAGTTCGGTGGACTTCAACGTCCGTCCTTCCATCCATATCCCGGCTATGGACGAACACGTCATCGAAATAACTTGGTGCGAAATCCCGCACCGGTCTCAACAGATCTGTTACACATCTGTTGAATGTTGCAGGGGCATTACTTAGCCCCTGTGGCATCACTAGCCACTCCCTCAGCATACCGCTGGGGTTGCTCACTGCTGTGTACGAAATGTCCCGTTCACACATGAGGATCTGATAGAATCCATTTATCAGATCCATGGACGAAAAGATGGTACTCTTAGACATACCATCTATGATGACGTCCTTCCTCGGTATCGGCGTCTGAGCCGGTACCGTTGCAGCATTCAACTTGTTAAATGGGTGCACTATCCGCCATCCTCCTGTGGCCTTTCGCACACAGAAGGTCGGAGAGCTGTGAGGGGATGTCGATTCCCTCACACGGCCCGCTGCTGAGCGATCGACAAAGAACTTGTCGATCGCTATCCCTTTTCACGATACAGTGGCCACTGCTTCATGACACAGTCCTTCGAGCCCGGTTTGAGCTAGATCTCGTGTCGAGTGCCTTTGTCCTTAGGCAACTCGCAAGGCACGGGTTCAGGGAACACATCCTTGAATTCTATCAAATCCTTATACAAAGGATTTGCCTGAAGCGACTTCCAGGATTGAGATTCATATCTCTCAATCCTAGTCTTCTCATCGATGACACTATCGTCCATCGATGAACTGCTGAGAAACCGTTCGGTCTCAGTAAACACCGTTGCCGATCGAATATCGGTAACGTACTCGTCTTCCGCGACGAGTACACAGATTTGATTGACTTTGCCACTGCGCAGATCACGCAAGAACCGTTTCGATTTTAGCGTCGGCAATTGAGTTATCTCCGAATTAATGTTCGGAGGCGCAACCAGATCAACCCTGTAAGCGCCTACTCTTGATCCGCCATTAACCAAGACATTCAGTGTCTCGATTACTTCCTGGGAAATCGCTTCCACAGGATCTGGGTGAGCTTTCCCCACAATCTAATGATCATCTACACTGTGTTCTTGTACGTTCGAGCTAACGACCGTACCACAAGTGAGGCCATCGCACTCACTCGTAGTACACCCACGTGAGTGTGGGCGTTCCAAGACATTCGTCAGGTGGTTATCTGAGGAACAAGTGGCAGGTATAGTAACCGATCGATACTGCCAACTCACCCTTGGCTCGTATTTACTGAGCCAAGGCAACCCTAAGATGACGTCGAACTTTTCATGTAGGTCAAGCACGATGAAATCATCATCGTACTGTTCGCCTTTTAATGTGTAGTGGATTCCGACTACACGTTTCTTCACAGTGATCGATGCGCCTGTCGTTAGGTGCAATGTCATACACGTTGGAGGGATCTCCCGCTCCACGAAGTTAAAACTTCCTGCCTCTAGCGACTGGCGACGAACAAAATTGTTCGACGCCCCATAGTCAACTAGGGCGCGAAGTGACAAGTCTTTTGTCACTTCTGAGTTCAAGGTGATGTGTGACACCTCATCACCAGGTTCAGAGACACACAGAAATTGTGTGTCAGGAGCAACCTTCTTCAGGAGATTTGCAAATGTTTTGATGTTGCTGGATCAGCAGGGCGCTCCGCCCCTACTGATCCCGACCGTATTTTGATGGTCCACCTCGATGTTGCGACTTCGCAATAGCAACTGACCCTCGCCCTCCAGTTCTTCTTGCTGGTAAGTGAATACTGCGCTCGGCACCGCGAGGTAACGAGCGGGGGATACTGCATTCATATGCGTAGTGTCCCAGTTTATGACAGCGATGGCATCTCACCATTCGCTTGTCATTCGCAGGGCGAGGTTACTCGCCTTTGACATTACAGAGATTCATTGGTTCTGGACCTTCGACTGCTAATCGTCTCTGTGGACGATGCGGGGTCAAAGTAGCGTGAGACTGTCTCACGCTATAGTCTTCTTGCTCCGCTGCAAAGATTGCCTCTGAGATTGTCTTTAGCTCTCCGCAGAACAGGTGGTTCTTAACGGGACCGTCTGAAAGGTCTTGAATAAAGATTGTAATCAACACAAACTCACTCACAGGGTTCACTAACATGCAGCTTGCAAGGTAGCGTACATGTTGGGCGTAAGCGTGAACCTTACGCTTACCCTGCTTGATTTGCAGGAGCTCCGAAATAGTCCTGAACTCTGCTCTGGGCGGCTCAAACGTCTCACTGAGCAGGGTCTTGAAGATTCTCAACGACCCAAACACATGTGGGTCGTGCAACTTGAGGTTCAGGGCCCAAGCTCTGGCTTCTCCTGCCAGGTTAGACTGAGCGAATGAGACTTGCATTCGCTCATCATCGATGCGAAAAGCATCGATGGCATCGTCCAGCTCGACGAATCACCTCAACAGGGAGTCTTCCTCGACTCCCCGATACTTGGAGACCTCTAGTTTTAGAGACTCCCGTCGACGCTCACGCGTCGGCTCTGCGGGCTGAGATTGTTGTTGCCTCAGTGCTTCGGTCCGCTGGTGATCTTGTTGTTGTAACAAGGTCACCTACGCTCGCGACTCATCCAGTTCTCGTTGCTAGAACTTGCTAATGACGACATGTTTCTGGTCCCTATCACTTGATGATAGCATGGCCCAGATGGCCTCCTCGCCGACGGTCGAACTCATTCGTTCGATTGCACTCCATTCGATGTCGCTCAAATGGGAGTAGCTTTCACGGGTCCCGTGAAAGTTGTCGCCGTCTACATCGTCCAACATGTTCATGTTGGGCGATGGGGTTGTGGTCCTTGGACGGACTACAAAGTGCAACCAGGTGTAACGGGGCACTGTTGACTACGTACTGGGTGACCAGTACGAAGTATACTTCCACTGACGACAGTGGTCGGCAGTGCCCTGCTAGGTGTTTTAAGGGAAAACACAGAGGAAGGAAAGGAGACTAAGTAGTCAGACTAGTCTCTTGGTAAAAGTAAAACTGTATTAATATAATCAAGTCCTATAACTCCTTGAATCTCTGTTGTCCTGACTTAATTATACTAATATAACTATATGTATGATGACGTCTACTCACCACCCATTGCGCGCGTCTAGCAGCGATTGGTGGGTTGATATCATCACGATATCAACCAATGAGTAGACCCTTCGGTCATCCCAACAATATCACCATGTCTGTGATGTAGTTAAAAGAATATTCGACGTAATATTCTTTATTGTCAAATTGTTTTAATGACAATTTCATGAAACGGGCTTCCCCGTTACAGGTCTCTCATTTTTCCTTCCACCCTCATGCCCAATATCATTCATGCTCTTCTTCTCGAAACATGGCACTCTCGTTGTCTTTGATCAGAACTTCAGCATAACTTGGCCACGATCAGATCTTGCGGTCCCTAATTTACGTGCATGTCTGTGTGCCGCTTTCTGCTTTGTCTGAGTCCACATGTCTGTACTTGATTCTCGTCTGTGGTATGCTCAAACAATTTTACACACATGCAAAACTTTCGTAGACGTTATTAATGTGTGAGCTGGCGATCATCAGCTATAGCGACACTACTGTGTATCACTTGTCACGAATGCTGAGCGACTTTTACGCAGGCATTATTTGCCTAAAGAATGAACACGCACATTGTTGCAGAATAGCGACTAGCGATACTGCGATACTGCGATACTGCGGGTGTGGGAACCCATTCGAGAGAGCTTGTCGCAAAACTGATCGGCAGTTGGTCGTACACTTTCGAGACGGCGCCCCACTAAAGAGACAACAAAGACCGATGGACTGTGCAGTGATTGGACGACCATGCGGCTACTTGAACGACCAGTTCGATAGGTACAAAGCACTGATCGACAGAAACGGGCGCAAGCAGGTCGTTGCGAGCGAAAGAGGGGAGCTATGATGGTAGCTCGAAGGTTATCCGGATGACGTCGATCACTTGGAAGTGTGTGGAGCTTGTTACTGCCAACAGCCTGTCAGGGCAATCTGTGGACCAAACACTTTGGACTGCAGACAGGAGGTAGCCATTGAAGCAGCACCATATGGCAAATGGTATCAACCAGCAGCAGCTCACGAGACAACTGCCGTCTTGACCACTCGGTATCCATCTTAGACAATCACTTGGTATCAATTCTTTCGTTACTTCGCCTGCGTAAAAGCAGCCAGGGACAATTGATTATACAGCACAATACACATCAAACGCAGCACAAACCTTGTACGCTCATGTCGGCCACAATGCTGCAATCACGCGGGCATCGACTCGCAGGTACACGTCCACATTTTGCATCATTCATTCTGACGCTGTGCTGGTCGCGACTGGACGACTTGGCTGTTCTCGCCACCTCTGCTTTCACCACGACATTGACGACGGCAGGGTAAAGGTCGGACCGACCATCATACTTTCCCACTTGAACACAATGGACAACGTGTTCATCGCAAGCGACGCGACCGATTCGTGGTCGCCGTTGTCCATGCACCCGCCGTACTCGACCCGTGCGCCTTCCTGGAAGAACGGGCCACTGTTTTCTCCACAATCACTGGCAGGCTCGAAGACAAACCAACCGGATAGCTCGGTCCACTGCACGAGTTTGCCATCTCGGCTGACACGAGCCAACGAGGGGTCGGTGAGGCGTTCGGGTGCAACCGACTGCACACAAATGAGAAACCCCTTCCGAGTGCGTACGCGGAACAATAAATACACACATCGATAGAGCTTCACGCCGTCTTCGCCCTGCGTCTCGCGCAACGCTACGATCGTGTCATCGTCCACGCGCTGCAGGATACGCAGCGTCATGAGGCCGTGGAACTTGGCCTCTGTGCACTCTGGGTTCGAGAAACACTGCCACGTGCTTGTCATCAGATGCAACGCGTTGTGTCCAGCAAACTGCTTGCGCAGTGAAAACTTGAGCTTCGTGCCGTCCAGCAGCCGTTTGTCCGTCCAGCCCATGATACTGACGCCCGTGCTTATCGCCTTGCCGCTCAACGAGAACGACAGCACGGAGCGGTAGACTCTCGTTCACCAGTGCCGTTGACTCGCGAGCGCTCAGTGGCTTGTAGCCCAGCTGCTTCCGTAGAGCCACTGCCAATGGCGCCTTGCTCGTCACCGTCGGACCCGCCAAGGTCGGCCGTGGCTCACTGTAGAACGACGGCTTGGTCTTGTATTTCGTACTCAGGGGGGACACCCCACAACCGCTTGCGACCGTCGTCAGTGGTCGGCTCGAGGTACTACCACAGTGCACAGGCGACGACGACGGCGACAGTGTAGCCATCGACGCAGTCGACGACGTCGTTGCCGTGTCCGAGTCCGACATGTCCGACTCGTCGAGCGAATTGGCCGTCGCGCAGTGAGCCATTGCCTCGAGATCCGCCGCAAATTGGTGCCGGCAGTCGAGCAACAGCTGCAGCTTTGCAGTCTCCTTGACCAGCTCCTCTTGCTCGGAAATGAGCTCTGCATAGTGCCGATGCTGCACGTGGTCCGCAACGACCGTCTCGGGCTTCTGCTTGGACAGCGACAGCGTCTCCAAATGCCGCTCGAGGTCCGATACTTTGTCGCGCAAGCCCTTGAGCGCAGCCTACATGGGTACAAACATAGCAACGGTACACATACATATACGTTCCCAAGAATCCAAAATTTGAGATCACGAAAAAAACAAACGAAAGAAACAAAACAACACGTGTGTGGGTCAAAAAAACAGTCCCACCGCATCGAAAAACACACACACCGCCTCATACGACACACACAACGACACTGAATAAAACCAACGACTCTGTGTCGTCATGTCGTCGACAACGATCAAATGTGTTTTTATTCCTCGTCGTGAGGCTGTAGTGTCCATACCTTATTGCGGTGGTACGCGCGCTTCACGACCTCCCGATGCCGCACGCGGCGCTCGACGGCCGACAGTTTGCTCTTCAGTGCATCGTCCTGCCCACGCGCTCCTTTTCCCCACGCTGCCGTTACTTCCGACCGCGCAGGCGACGGCGTCTCGAGTGGATCGGCCAAGAGCAGTATATCCAGCAGCGCCTGGTCGTCGGCGTTCCAGTGGCCGCTGCCAACGTGCAGACTCGAAAACTCGGGCGCAGCCACCTGCATCGAAGGGCCGCGAGGTCACTAGTAAAGTAGAGCGTACGCAGTCGCGTTCCCTCGTGGTGGAAAAAAGCCAGACGACGACGGTCAGCACGTTTTCGACAGATTGGTTTATATAATGCAGCAAAAATGGTTTAAAACAGGGTGTGGCGATGGGCCGTGCGTGCGTCCCATCGTTGAGAGGTTCTGAGTGTACATTTGCTCGACGGGCGCGGCACTTTGTCAGCGGTAGTCGGACACGAATGTACCACTGCTACTACTTGTGCTGTCGACTTTGTGTAGTAGTCGTAGATGTCGTCGATGTCGTAGTGGTAGAAGAAGTAGATGCAGTACTTGTAGTAGATCGTAGTAGTAGTATTAAACAAAGTAGTTGTTCTTCTGATTGCACTGTAGCAGTCGTAGTCGTAGCGCCATCTCCGGGCGTTTGTATCAAACCCGTACGCCGCACACTTTGTGGTATGCGCATCGTTGTCTATGCTTAGCGGCGGACAGAGTGCGCTTTTGGACGACCAGAGTGAAGTTATAGGACCTGCCACTGCGACCTGGTCAACAAAGCCCAAGCGTACAGTCGACAGGACGATAGCAAGACGATGGTCGTGCAACTTCTTGGCGAATCGCTGGTCGTTCCGTCATCTGCAAGCGACTGCAGCGACAGCGACGAAAGATAAGGACGTGGCGTACGAGAAAAAATGCTCGTGACGTTGCTACTGGAACAACATCACAAAGGGATAAGCGCGTACATAACGATCTTTTGGCGCGTCGCTTGATCGAGCGAACCTTTTTTTCGAGCGTGCTCGAGTCATCATCGGACCCAGAAAGTCAGCGCGAGCGCACGAATGGACGAGCGTCATGAGTCCACTGCTTTTGATTCCATTCTTTGTATTGTGCCATTGAGCAGAGCGGTGCGAAAGCCAAATGGGCGGCGGTCGAAGATTTCCATCGAAGTGTTTGTGTCACGACAGTCGAATCGAATTCCGACAATGGAATGACAGACCGGTCGAACGCCGTTGACAAAGCCTGAACACCGACTCTGATGATTGAGGTTGAAGAGCGTATAGGCTTCGAAGGCCGAGGACGTAATGGTTGCAACAAGTAGATACAGGACGAAGACAACGTCTTCACCGACACGAGTAGACGCGTTGTGTCTACAAAGTCAAAGCGCCCATGCAGCGCCACAAGAAATGGAACCAGACGGACGATCAACGTCTCGTACCTTCTCTTGGGTCACGGTGTGTCTCTGACACAATGTCAGTGGCTCCTGAGAGGGCAGACACACTTTTTTCGCGCAGCAGTCAGTCACTCGATGGATCAGATACGAACAGATCATGCGGACACTGTCGAAATGAGACGTTTTCACCACAATCCGGCCCCTCCAATGTTGAGCTCCTCGGAGAGATAGACGGCGGGTTGGCGTTCTCCTCCTCGCGTCTCTTCGGTGTTCGCCTCCTCGTCAGGGCCGCGCCAGCGGTGCAGGGTTTGTGCCTTTTATGGCGCTACCACGTTAAACACATCCGCTCCGCCAGGGCCCGCAGTATGCAAGTTACTTGGTTGCGCCCGCGTCGCGTTGTATTGGTTGGTTCCCGGTAGGGTTTTCCCGTTCGTTCTTTCATCTTCGGGCCCTTTATTTTCCGTCCCGGGCCGTATTTTTTATTTTTAGTTTATTTTAATGGAGTATTCATAATATCCTCACAGGGAGAGGCGCAAGGCACGAAATAAGGGGTTGTTTCCCCACCCAGTCACTTCGGTGTTCCCTCCACCTCGGGGGCCCCAGGCGGTTCACAAGGGGTTTTTTTTTTATCACGCTTCCCCCCTTTTACTCTCCGGCGGCGGTACCTTCCCCTCTTCTTGTCCTTGAATATTTGAGATCGACTGTAGTTGTTGATGGAGGTTTCCCGTTCTCCCCTGCTCTTCGACCTTTATTTCCTCTTTCTTTTTTTTTTATAAAACCCAAAGGGGGCCCCGGCCTTTGCTGGAGATTTTCTCGCTCAACTGCATCTGACATCTCGTTGCAATCGATTTGCGGTTCGGCAGGACATGCTCTGGTCTGTTGGTGGCCTCAGCCTCCTTATCGCATGCGTAACTGCAACGTCGAGGACGAACTGCAACGTCTCACTCCGCGGAATGGCAACACGCGGATGTAATGGTGCACAAAACGCCTTCATCCGCGCGACTGAGCCGGTTGGCCGAGCCAGAAAATGGACACAGCAGAGCACGCCATCGTCGCGGTGAGACCAGGAACCTCGACGCAAAAGCAGCTTGGCCCGGGCTTGGCTTGCCAGGATTCGCTCTACACGGTGACTAGCCGCGATATGCGGCCCGGGCGCACTTACATCCTTCCTCAATGCTTTCTTAGACGTGGGGCTTCGAGCTGACTCTCCTGGAATCGACACTCGGAGTTGCCCGTGCGGTTTACGGGGAAGTTCCTCATGCACTGGACGATCTCTGGGGCCAAAGTTGGTCCTAACTTTGAGCTTACAGGGACAAAAAGAGCGATCTACGCGGAGCCATTGACAAGCTAACGTGTGCCTGCAGATGCGCATTGCCATGCGATCGAGCACGTCTTGTGCGTAACTAACGTGACCGCTCTGCAAGAGCTGCACCGGCGACCGGTATCGTACCACAACGTCGTTGTCTGCCCTGCAGCGTCGACGCATCTCCTTTGAGAAAGCAGAAGCTGATGGCCATTGGGATAGTCGGTTCGGCACACCGGCTTTGACGCTGCGAGTCTAAACAGAACCGGCTCTCTGGTTGTTTAGACGAACACTTCAACTCGTCTGACGGACTGTTTGGTAGCCAACTGCTATCGTCTCGTGCACCGATATCGAAGTGGCGTCTCCTCATATGGTCGACGACTTCTGCGCTTTGTTAACACCGCACTGTATCCTCTTTCGAAGTGAAATTCCTTCAGCTTACGGGGAAGTCTTCTCCACCCTGAACGAACCTTTGGGCTATCCGCGTTTCGAGACGGTATTTAACAGTCGCAGCCGTTGGTCGACATGATCTTCCGAGGCGTCAAATGCCCCCAATCTCCTCGCTCGGTATCGGATCCCTCGTCGCGTCCACTACACGTCTCACGCATCTCCTCCAGCTGAGTGCTGCACAGACTGTGTGGGAATCACGTCGTGCAGACGGAAGAATCCACTGAAACAGCGGGTTGCATCGTACATGATCCATTGTCACGCTTCACTGGATGATAAACTACTACGTACGTCGCCGTTTCTCGCGGCAGACGTTCGTTCGTTCGCATAGTCTCTGCATGCAAAGCAACAACGAGCCGTCTGCAGCAGCCCCTGACCAGGGCAGCGCTGCCAACAACCGGGGCTTTTGCCAGCGCCCATCGCGTCAACGCCGTCTCTGCACGTCGATTTCTCTGTTCCGATCCGTCACCCGGCGCCGTATCCAGCATCTGTAGTCCTCCTCCTGCCCTGTGCGTGCGCCAAATTTCTCCTCGCCCATGCGGCATGCGGACGAGGGAGCAGTCACGACGAGCTGAGCGCAAACTCGCTCCATTCGCCGCGCTGCAACGGGTCCACCGCTTGCCATTTGGCAATTCGCGAGCTCTCCGCCACCCTCGACCCACCTACGGCAACAACATCAACAACATCACCAACATCAACAGCAACAGCAAGTACAGTACCCCTCGTCCAGTCACTCGCCCTGTCAATGGTCAAACGTCTCTTCTTCACGCTCGAAGATGCAAAGATCTCCTTCAGCTTCTTCGGCCGCATGCGCGGCGTCGGGACGCCTGCGAGCGCGCCGGCCAACTTGCCCGCGCCGGTCCCGTGCTCGGCGCACTCGCGACTGGCCTCATGGCGCTCGCTAACATTTACGCGTCCGTGGCCATGTCCAAAGTACTGCCACCGCTCCGAGAGCTCCGTAGAATACCTTCAGTGACTTGGGCGAGTGGTGCCTGGGCAAAACGGGTCGCTGGCTCAGCGTCGTGTCCTGTACCGGCCCGTGCCTCCTCATGCCCTGTGTCTTCCTCGTGCTCGGCGGCGGTCTGCTCGACCGGCTCTTCCCCAACGCATGGAGCACCACCGTGTGGATCATCCCCGCGACGATCACAGTGTTCCCGCTGGCGTTAGTCCCGACGCTGAAAGAAGGCGCTTTGGGCCGCGTTCGCGGGCCGTATGGGTACGCTCATTGCCGACGGGTTGGGCATTGCCATTAATGCGCACGGCATGCGCGACCACCCGTCGGTGCCGCCGCCCGAGCTGAGCTCCGCCTCAAGTCGCGGGCGCCTTTGGCAGTCTCGCAATGGGCTTTGGCGCGGGTATTGTCCTGTCGGACGTCCAGCGCCAACACAGCGACCTGACGCGCGTCCCGCGGGTCGTTGTGGCCACAATGATCTTTGTCATGTGCATCCTCCTCGTGCTCGGCCTCGTGCTGCACGGCGTGGGGTGCCAAATCTCGGGCAACTTGCTGTACATTATCTACCCGGACGCGAGCACGGGGCTGACGCTCTTTGGCTTTGCCTCAAGTGGGCACTGTCGTGCTCGCGTACATTGCCATGCAAATGCACGTCACGATCGCCTTCGCCGTGCTCATTAACCCGGCGTTCTACATTGCCGAGCGCCTCGTGCTCGGCATGCACGAGAAGAGGCGGTCGAGGTGGAAACCGGTTTGGCGTTTCACGAATCCGGCCCCTGGGCTGCCCAAGACGAGCGAAGTGTCCGCAGTGAGCGCCACGTCCAGTCGTCGCCTGCGGACGTCCGTGTTCCCGCTCACGGGCGAGCTCACCAACGACCACGAGCTCGAAGCGGCCGAGTACCGCGGCGCGAACGCGATCAAGTACATTGTGCTGCGCCTCGCGATCATTGTCGTGCTCGTGGTGCTGTCCATTATCTTTGCCGACTACTTTTCCGACTTTGTCGACTTTGTGGGCGCGTCGGCCATCACGGCCAATTGCATTGTGTTGCCGACGATTTTCTACCCATGAAGACGTGGCAGACCGTCCCAATGTACGAGAAGGTGGGGGCCGGCGTCGTCATTGTCGTGTGCACGGTCCTCGGCTGCTATTCGACGTACACTGCTGGCAAGAATTTGTTTTATCCGTCCGACTCGGACGTTGTTCCTGCACGCTCGCGACGCCGAGTTTTCAAGACGCAGTGTACTTCAATCGAACGGCGCTGTAGCTTGTCAAGTCATCATCCTCTCACTACAACTACTACTAATGCTACTGCTACTGCTACTACTGCTACACTCTCGACGATCGCTCGCGATGTGGCATGGTACGGACGACATGTTTGTGAATAAGTAAATACAAAAATCCTGCGTTTGTGCCACTGTGAAGCGACATGTTTGTTTGTTTGTTTGTTTTCGTGCGTGCGTGCATCTGAACGTATGCGCGACCAGGAGATGCTGGTTGAGCGATGGATGGAGCTGGGGCCTACATGTGGGCAGGTTAATTGCTACATGTATGATAAGAGACCGACGAGGGAGGTTGGTGAAGGTGCGTGTGCTTCCAACTTGTTGTACTAGCATGGGTATCGGAGGAAAGTCGTGCTGACAGTATCGTCGCCTGTGGAGTGGATGTTTGTTGTCCAGCTGCTGTTTGTCGCAGAACTGGCGATACGAGTGATGACTTAGGCACTCGTGACCAGTGATGCCGAGGAAGCAACAAGAGAAGATCTCGAACGGGCGAGAGATAGATGGAGTGATGAGCGCATAACACATTCCAGTCCGCATAATTACCTTTCTGTGAGACGAAAGATGCGCAGAGTATCGAGCTGAGCAATTGCGCCGCTTTGTACTGCAAACACGAACGACTGCGTGGCCGTAGCTTATTGTATGCTACACGCGCCAGGCACTTGACGTGCTGGTCTAAACGCGGGTCAAAACACGTAATTTAGATGAATCGACCAACCTGAGAAGATGTCTGTCTTTCTCCCGAGCAGGAGACATTCGTGAGGATCATCTGATCAAAGCCGTAGCGAGTCAGTGCACCACTCACCTGCAGTCGATCCTTGAAGCCTGACACGGTCGTCAGAATCGACTATCCGCATTCACATTCGCTCCTGGTGCGAGTACAGACGGACGCAGCGACAGTTTGCTTTGACAACCACACAAATAAAGACCGCAGCTTTCAGCACACCAGCCTGAACAAGAGCCTTTTCGTCTTTTCGCTCACAGTGCATCGCTATGTAAGCATTACTCATGCAGCTTCACTCAGCAAAGAAGAAGGAGAAGGCGTTGCGAATCGAAATCAATCTTTATACCATTACCGTTACTTATCAACTTAAAATAGAGCGGCCCTGAACGATAGCGCCACTGCAAACAGCTACAACCACTTTGTATTCTCGGCTCCACGCCGTTGACCGAAATCAGGGCTTGACCGAGACTAGGGCTGGGGGGGGGGGGGGGGGGGGACTGAGACTAGGGCTGACCACAACTAGGGTTTGACCGAGACGGGGAAAGGGGGGGACTAAGACTAGGGCTATCTAACTTGCGCCACACGAATACTCCCCGGTGCACGTGCTCATACCGGTATTACCGCCAACAAGCACCACAAAGTCGGCACCGACGTGTGTCCGAGTGCCTGAGTGTCCGTCCGGCGACATGAGCTACAATCGACGCGGAGGCCTGGCGGCCGCAGTCGCGGGCGCGGCGGCAATCGCGGCGGCAACCGGAGCAGCTACAGCAGTGGCGGGCGCGGCGGCTACCACAGCGCGTCCTCAATCGGCAACGAGGTCTGTCGACGGTACATGGACAGCGGCAAGTGCGAGTTCGAGCAGATATCGGGCGGGCGGCCGTGTCGGTATCCGCACTTTGTGCGACAATTTGAATGACACGCGGCCACAGCGGCGCAATCAAAGACGCGGTCATGTGGCCCGAGCGCCAGCAGCTCTTTACGTGCTCGGCCGACGCGAGCATCAAGCCCTGGGACTGCGCGACGTGGCAGGAGGTCACGACGATCAGTGTCCAGGACGCGCACCCTCCGTCCAGTACCGGTATTCTCGGCGGTATGACTACCACGACCTCAGGCAGCAGCAGCGGTGGTATTGGCTCGACGCACAATAACAGCAGACACAGTACGTCTGGAGGAGCTCGAAGCTCTTCGTCGCGCGATGCGCATTCGGACGGCGTCATGGCGCTCGTGCTGTGTGGCTCATGATCCCTTCGCAGGCTTTGCCGGCTGCTTTCGACCGAATCCGAAGGTGTCGATCGGAATGGTCAGGGGATGGAACCGGAGAACGCTCAAGCGCCTCCGTTCGAGTTCGTAGCGTCCGAGAGTTCGCCATTTGCCCACACAATGAGCGTCCGGCACTGGCTGTGGCGACCGACAGGACGGGTAACGCCACGCTGTTCAGCGGGGGTGCTGACGGTCGCATCCGCACCGCAGATGGACACATCGAGCAACCAGTTCGCGGCAGGGGTCATGGACGGCCACGTGCGAGGGTGACGCGACTCAAGACATTTGCCGTGGGCAGCGTGCCGATCTTGGCGTCAGCGAGCGTCGACCTTCGACGATTCGGCTTGGGACTTGGCCACGTACCAGTGCGGAAAGTGCTTGCTGCTGAAGATAATGGCCACACGGATGCCGTCATGGATCTCGAGTTTTGGGTGAACCAGAACGAGACGTTCTCTATCAGTGGCGGCCTGGACGCCGAGATCATTGTCTGGGGCCTCACGCCGCTGTTCTACAGCTGTTTAAAGAAACGCAGGACTCGCAGGTGACGGCATTGTGCGGCACGCAGGACACTGCACAAGCCCCGATCCTTCTTATTGGCATGGCGGTACGTTGCTGTCGTCACACTTCCGTGTGCCTCATGCCCAGTGTCTGAACTTGTCCTTTTGCTGCTTTTTGTCCAGGATGGCACGATCTCTGTGGGAAGAGCTGCCGTCGTTTGCGTACAAGACGACATTGGGCGCCGATCTCAATCAAGGTCACCATGATGCTGTGCGCGCATTACCACCGGTCCAAGCAATACGTTCTTCTCCACTGGCAACGATCAAAAGATGATTGCTTGGCAGAT